TCTTTGAGGGTCCTGCCCTCATGCTCACAGGTGCTGGCCAGAAGGTATACTCACTGAGCTGCGGTGCTCTCACATGGTCTGGTTGTACAATGAGCAAGGCATTGCTGTGTGCTCACTGGTGGCTATTCTCTAATCTGCAGTGCTCACGTATCTTTAGCTGTGGTGCTTTCCAACAGTGGTCCACTGTAATTGTGGGGCTTGCCCACACCAGGCTCTGCACCAGGATCACATCCTCTGCAGTGATGCTGGGGTCCCATGTGGCAACGCTGTCCAGACAGACTGTGGGCAGCTTAAAAGAGAGCACTTGTAACTGTGGAGCTGACCTCTGCCACTTCTAATCATTTGCTATTTAAAATTATGCAATGTATAATCTTGTGCATGGATTTGCAAGTTATCTGTAGGGTGAATTCCTAGAAGTGGAATGTGCATTTGTAATTCTGCTGGGTCTTGCCAACCTGCTTTTATATCCTCTCCAGCAACATATGAATGCTTTTTCTTTCCATCCTTGCCAACACAAGCTTTTATCTTTGCCTGCCTGATAAGTGAAACCTTAGTTATTTTCCTTTATAACATTTTTTTAATGTGGTTGAATTCCCAATAATTTATTTTCATGATTCTGTATTGGATCACTTAGAAAGAAAACTGTTGGCTTTTTTGTTTTGTGTCGGGGCTACATCTAGAGGTACTCAGGGTTTACTCCTGGCTCTGTGCTTAGGGGACCATATAGGGTGCCAGGGATTAAACCCAAGTGGGCCATGTGCAAGGCAAACGCCCTACCCGCTGTGCTATCGCTCCAGCCCCAACACTGCAATTTTTGACCCAAATAAAATTTATCCAGGAGTATGAGGTGTTAATTTAACTTAATTTTTCCTGGATGGCCACCCAGCTTGTCTATACCTTTCACCCAGTTATTCATCTTTCCCTTTCATGTTGAATTTCTGCCTTTATTAGATATGAAAGTCCTCTATGTTCTTGGTTCTATTTTTGTTTCACTCATGTGTCTCCATATTCATAAGCTAGAACCATACTATTTTATTATCATAACCTCATGTTATGATTATTATTTTGTAGAAATAACCCAGGATGTGACTCGGTAGTAGAACATGTTATTTATATCCTATGGGTATGTCAGATTCATCCTTGGCCTCCCACACACATGCAACGAAGAAAAACCACCTGGGATATTTGTCTTCCTCATTTCTCTTCTCTCCCTGCTCTTGCAGCCTATCACTATGGCAGACACTTTTCTTCTTTCCCGCACCCCTCTCTCTCTCTATTGATCTGCTTTATTTATTTGTTTATTTATTTATTTTTATTGAATCACTGTGAGATACAGTTACAAAGCTTTCATGCTCTTTTGAGCTCATGTTTCACCTATGGGAGACTGGGTTGAATCCTCAACACCACATGGAGTGCTCCCTAAGCCATGTCAGGTGTACCCCTCGCCAAAAACAAGCAATCAGATATATCAACAACGTGATCTTGTCTTTATCTTGTTCAGTTGTGAAATTGACCATGGGTTTTGGTCATTAACTGTGGACATGTGTCTCAGATACTGTGGCGCATATTTACAGCAAGCTCTGCATGTGCCAGCCCTGTTCTAAGCACTACCTTTGAACTCACTTGTAAGTGGATGACTAATTGGGAGTTGGGTAGTGTAGGTTTATGGGTCCTCAAACCAACCTTTCTGAAGTGGGGTATAAAAGAGGAAAGTGAGGGCGTGGAGCAATAGTACAGCAGGTAAGGCACTTGTCTGGCTTGCAGCTGACCAGGGTTTGATCCCTGGCATCCTATATGGCTTCCTGAGTATTGTCAGGAGTTACTCCTGAGTACAGAGCCAGGAGTAATCTCTGAGCATCATCTGGTGTGTTCCAAAAACAAAAATAAAAATCCAAAAGAGGAAGGTGAATTTTCCAGGGAAGTCCTCAAGTGTAGAGAAGAATGAGGATTCCACAGCCTGGGAAGGAAAGGAAGAAAAAGAGACAGACTTGAATGGAGAGGCTCAGGCTGGCTGTGTGCTGAGACCTGAGAGTTTTCTGCAGCTTCATTGGTTTTGAACTTCATTGGTTTTGAACCAGTGGCCTTCTTGTCAGTCCTGGCCATGTTTAGGGTGGTGGCCCCAGCAGGCTTGCTAAGGCCCTGCAGGGTGGTCCGGGTAGGCTGCCAGATCGTGCATGCTGCCCCCAGCCTGTCAGTTCCACCCAGTGGTCAACCCTGCTGGCTGTGGGCCACGCACCTTTCTTGCATTTGCAAGCTCCTGGCGAGCCATTAGCACCAGCTGGCCCTGCCAGGAGTATATGTGCTGATCATGGCACTGTGTTGCAGCCAGAGCAAACTAGCTAATGGAAGTTAATCCCCACCCCTGGGCTTTTCCTCTCCTTATGACCATCATTAGCCTCTCAGCATCTTTCTCCCATTCAACAGGGTTCAGGGTGCTGGGGATTCTGCGCAGTTGCTCCTCCCTCCCCCACCCCAAATCAGCCTCCAGGTTAGAAAAAAAATGGCCTGGAGTCCAGAAACACTGAAAACAGGGAGAGTGAAGGATGATTTATGTGAGGTCAGTTCAGTACTAATGCACATCCTAGCCCAGCAGCCTGGAATAAAATTCCACATCCCTTTGGGTCAAGCACAAATAAAGGGGTCTCAAAACCCATGCAGTGACATATTTTGGCTGCTTTGTGTGGAGAAAGGGAGACAGGAAGAAACGACTTTAGATTCTTGAGACACCTCAAAAGGGGCTAAATTTTTTCAGTCCCCTGTTCATAGCTCCACAAGTAAATGGAAGGGATTCCAGTTCAAGGACGAACTTGGTTTCTTGGCAAAGGGCTGTGGAACTGTGCTGGCTCTGTGGACCCTGAACCTGATGGAGAACAAATGGGACCTCGTTACCTCCAGTCTGGCACCCAGTATGGGATCAAAACTGCAGTGTCCTGAGTCAGTCCTTGACACCAGGGAAGTGGTTTGATTTGCTGCTGATTAAAGAGTAAGGGGGAATTTTCCATTTGAGACTTTGCCCGGAGGCCCAGAATGGATGAGGGATACTTGAAGTTTATATTTATCATCAGGAGTTCTATTTTCTCTCTTCCTGGGAGTCTTATTTTGATGGCTGCCTTAGAATTCTTTGTCTGCGGCTCCTGCACATCGTCACATTTATGAGAGTGATCTGCCTCCAGGCTCCAGGATCCGAGCTCTCTTTCCTGTCCCTGAATTCCCTGCATCCGTCCGAGCCTGGCATCCAGTGGCTGTCTGGGGCACATTTGCTGAATGAATGACGATGTGCACAAAGGGCTGAGATGCTCACACTAAAATAGCCTTACAGCAGGAAGGAACCAGATGCTCTGAGCCCCGGGAACTGCCAGGACTGCACCCGGAGGCACTGCTGGCTGGACTCTTCTGTTTGTTGCTGTTAAATCAGATATTTAATCATTAAAGAAATGTCCCCTGCCGTAGTGAGAGCTCTGCTTCCCCAGTCGGCATTCTTTCCCTGCAGGCTGCTCTGAGTCCGCTCATCCCCACGGCTCTTCCCGGGGGGGATCCTTGGAGCCCAGGGAGCCCAGCACAGGACCAGCTCAGTTCCTATCCCGTGCTCAAAATCCAGTCACCACAAATTGTCCCCTAAACCAGAGGGTGCAACCCTCTACTTTTCTTCTTTCTATCTTTTCTGTTTCTCTTTGGTCACCTGGTCTGCACCTCTTAGCCTCTTGTCCTCTCTCCTACCTCTTGTTCAAGCTTCTCAGCCCTCCTTGGATAAGTTTTCTGCATTTATTTGTATGGGAGTGCTAATAGGCACCACCATCAGATACAGTAAAAGCAAGAAGCCTGATTGGGGGTGATAATGACTGAGTGGAGGTATCATGTCAGCTTCCCAAGACTGCCCTTTGGGGATAAATTAGCAAAATGCAGTGGTTAGTACCTCCCCTGCCTCTTCACTCCAGTTCCTGATGCCACATGGATCACACACTGTTTCTTCACTCTTCATCCCTCTCTCTCCCTCAGCAGACTCCTTCAAAGCAAGTCATTCATTTTGCCCTGATGTAACCAGGCTGAGGGTAGGCCTGTGCCAGTTGTTGCTGAATAAGTGTGGGGACCGTCAACTCTCCCTGTCCAATGGAGCAACCGCTGTGTGGGGAGCTCTAGGTCTCAGGGAGGAAGAGGGGATCCGGGCCAGCTGCTCTGGGTTCTAGGAAACTGCAGTATCTTTTTTTTGTTTGTTTGTTTGGGAGCCAGACACATTAGTACTCAGCAGCTACTCCTGGCTCCATGCTTAAGGGTTATTTCAAGTGGTGCTTAGGGGCCACGTGGGGCCAGGGATCAAGCCCAAGCCTCCAGCATGCCGAGCCTGTGCCCTGGGCCTTTGGGCTATCTCCCTGGTCTGGGCACATGAGAAGACTTAACCTGATGTGATGTTAAGAGAAGCACTTGGCGGCAGAACAATAATACGGCAGGTAAACCACTTGCCACAGCACCACTTATGGTCCCCTGAGTGCCACCACAAGTGACCCCTGAGCACAGAACCAGGTTTTCCTGCCCCCCCCCCCACAAGAAAATATTAAAGAGAAGCACTGGTTTTGCTGACTCCTAAAGGACAGATGGGGTGAGGGGAAGGGCTGGGTGGGAGGAAAGGCCATTTGGGGCAGAGGGTGTTTGTTGGATGGGTGGGTGGGTGAGACTGACAATGCATTCTGAGATCACTGGCACAAGGGACAGCACGTGCTGCCAGGCTCAGGGTTGCAGACAGCTGGCCTGTGGGGGGGCGGAGGGGGCAGTTGTTAAAGCTGCAGTGGCTATGGCTGTATTGTCACTGACCATACATCCATGATGCTGAAAGACACATTTGCTGCCCACAAATGCCCTTGGGAGGAGGATCAGATTGATACATCCCCATTTCTGCCGGGAAATTTGGAACCCTGGATTTAAGGTGAAACTCCTTCCGCCCCATCATTTTGCACCCCGATGCTGGCTGCCCCAGGCCTCTTACCCGGGTTCTTCTCTCTACCCAGATGAGCGGGAAGTTGTGCAGAAGAAGACCTTTACAAAATGGGTGAACTCCCACCTGGCCCGAGTGTCCTGCCGGATCAGTGACCTCTACAAGGACCTGCGGGACGGGCGGATGCTCATCAAGCTGCTGGAGGTGCTCTCCGGAGAGATGCTGGTAAGCCACTTTCCTGGGGTCGGTGTTAGGAAATACAAGGCCTGGGAGGACCCCTGTGCCCACAGCCTTGGGGGGCTCCGCCCTCTTCCCCAGGAAGATTTTGGTTCTTTCTGGTATGAGACCACAGTGTGGCCCTTGGGTTCTCTGGCTTCTTCCCAGAATGCCTCCGGCCACTCCTGCTCCTTCATGCTTTTCCCAAGAGCCATGCAGAGTCCTGGCCTCTTTTGACTAGGGCTGGGCACTTGTGTGGCTCCACACTCAGCCTCCCTGCTCAGGTGGGGTAGATACCGTCACCCAGAGGAACATCACCAAGAGGAAGGTACAAAGGCCCCTTCGTGGTCAACACAGCTATAGCGTTGACCCCGGGGAGAACCAGATTAAGGCTTACCACTCACTTCTCTCCTTGTGACCAGGACCTTGCAGGCAGAAACTTCCTGTGCAAACTGAGGAAAATGATGCCTGATTCCCAGGCAGTGCGCTAAGATTCAGGGGTCTAAATGAAAATGTAACTTGTTCTCCTACCTTTCTTTTGTGTAAGGAAAGTTGAGGGGTGGGGGCCGGGGGAGGCCACAACTGGCAGTGCCCAGGACTTACTCCTGCACTCAGGGATCACTCCTGGTGGGCCTTGGGGGCCTTTATGCAGTGCCGAGGATCAAACTGGGGTCAGGCACATGCAAGGCAAGCACCTTACCTGCTGTTCTATCTCTCCAGCCCTTCTTTTGCCTTTCCAACTCCAGGCTGGAGTTGAGCCCCTTAGCCTGCACCCTACAGGGAGTCTACAGGGAGCAATTACTCATCACAATAGGCTATCCACTTACCTTCGACCTATGGGCCTTTTAGAGTTGAGGCAGGCAAGCTTGGAGGGCAAGGTGGACCCATTCTCAAGCAGCAATAGATGCTTCTTTGCACTATGTCTGGCATAGAGTAAATGCTCAGTTAACGGTTGCTTTTTTGGGGGGGAGGGTCACACCTGGTGATGCAAGGGGTTACTCCTGGCTCTGCACTCAGGAGTTACTCCTGGTGGTGCTCAGGGGACCATATGGGATGCTAGGAATTGAACCCGGGTCGGCCACATGCAAGGCAAATGCCCTACCCGCTGTGCTATCTCTCCAGCCCCTGTATTTGCTTTTTTAAAAAGTTAATTTATTATTCCTTAAGTGTTTTATTGCAGGGGGAGTCACTCCCAGGCTGTGCTCAGAGGGCCCACATACAGCACCAGGGGGTTGAAGGTTGAAATCTGACCTGGCCCATGTGCGTGCACCGCTGGCCATTGAGCTGTCTCCCCAGCCCTGTCCTTGCCTTGGAATGTCATGGATCACCCACTCAGCAGGCTTTGTTTAAACCCGCACATCATCCTCCCCCTAAGTCCCCCCACCCCCAAACACAAGCACACACATACAGTAGTGCCCAAAGCAGAGCTCTGGGTGCCGGAGGGGAGGGGAATCTCCTAATTTGACTAAAAAGGCAGGACTAGAAAGTGTTAGGAGGTGAGCCTGCAACCCAGGCTGTACCCATCTCTGAGGGAACTATGAAGTCCCTCCACACTCACGGGGTCACTCCTGTCCCCAGCCAAAGCCCACAAAGGGGAAGATGCGCATCCACTGCCTGGAGAATGTGGACAAGGCCCTGCAGTTCCTCAAGGAGCAGCGTGTGCACCTGGAGAACATGGGCTCGCACGACATCGTCGACGGCAACCACCGGCTTGTCCTCGGCCTCATCTGGACCATCATCCTTCGCTTCCAGGTATGCTGCAGTGGGGCGCCGGCACATGCGCTGGGAAGGTGGAAAATGTGCATTTGTGCAATCTACGAGGGTAGAGACTGGCCCTGGGGCAGTGCCTGCAGGAAGGAGTGACTATCCTTTATGTCATCCCTTTGTTACTGAAGTTCAGGTGCCCCGTTCTGCAGGAGTGAGGGCTTTTGATGGGGGAACAGAAATGAATAGCTGGGCTGAGCTCTGGGTGTACCATCTTTGGCATGGGGGTGCAGGGGAAGGGTCGGACCATACCCAACAATGCTCAGGGCTTACTCCTGGCTGTGTTATGGGGTCAGTCACTCCTACTGGGTTTTGGGAGAATCATATGCAGTGCTGAGGATCAAACCCAGGTCAGTCATATATAAGGCAAGTACCTTTCCCTCTGTACTATCTCTCTGGCCCTGGCTGCACCCTCTTGTCCCCTCCCCACCAACACTCACACTTTAAAGTTTTTATTTTTTTAATAGATTGATTCAAAAATAGTAACATGAACCCCCAAAAGGGTACTGAACATAAAACACCTGTTTTATGATTTTTATTCAGAACCTTTTCTCTCCCCACCCTGAAGTTCAAAATGCAGCTTTTTATTTAAAAACAAAAACAAAACAAAAACAAACAAACAAAAAAAACCAGGGACTCCATGAGGGAGGGAGAGCAGTGCCTTCTCTTCTCTGTTTGGGGACAGAATGAAGCAAGTGGGAAGAGAGAGGGAGCAGAGAGGAGGCTGAGCACACGAGAATGTCTCCCTCCGCATCCACACCCATCCTGGGTGGCAGAGACAAAACAATCAATCTTATCTGCAGAATTGGGGAGAAGGGAAGAACCAGAGGAGCCACTAGTCAAATTCAGGACTTCCAAGGTTATGTTGCCTCTCAGTCTTGGTCTCACAGGGCATCTGCCTCCTGGGCAGGAATCAGGCCTGCCTACTGTCATCATCTGGCTTCTTAAAGTGCTCAGTGTCTGCCTCCCCTCCAACCCCAGGCCACAGTAGCAGACAGAAGTGGGAGGCAGGTCCCAGGGCACCTCAGTGGACTTGCTGCTACTAGCCTGGCCCCTGGGAGACTCCCTTGGGAGGCTCCCTCGGGGAATGAGGAGAGTGGCAGGGTCGACTGGGAAACTCATTCCGCTCCTTCTTGTCCCTATACCTCAGATTCAGGATATCGTTGTCCAGACTCAGGAGGGTCGTGAGACGCGCTCGGCCAAGGACGCCTTGCTGTTATGGTGTCAGATGAAGACTGCAGGGTATGACCTGGAAATGCCCTGCTGTCCACACCCTACCCTGTGTGCTGCTGCCCCCAGGGGGCACACAACACACACAAAGCTCTAGCTACTTTGGCATCCTGGGGGGCAGTATCTCCTGTCCTGCTGGTCAGAGGCCCGGAACCTAAGAGTCCTTCCCAGGGGCCCAGGATCCAACCATGGGGGGCTGCTGGGTGTGTGAATCTCTGTATGTGGCTGAGTGGGTCACGTTCAAGCAGCTTGGGAAGGCCCAGGTGCATTCCCTTCCTGTTTGGGAACACCCAAAGAACCCATTCCTGAATACTGTTCTTGGATGCAGCTATCCCCATGTCAACATCACCAACTTCACCTCGAGCTGGAAGGACGGCCTGGCCTTTAACGCCCTGATCCACAAGCACCGGTAAGGGCCCAGAGGGCTGGGCACAGCCTGCCGGGCAGCACACACTGCACACTGACTGTGCAGGCAGCTGCTGTCCCAGCTTCATGGCCACTTCTGGCCCCTCGGCATCCGCGCTTCCCTCCAGGTCTGCCACCCCCTTCCCACCTGCTGCCCTGCCTTCCTCCCATCTTTCCTTCTGTTTCTGCAAGCCTCACTCTGCATCTGCCCCCTGGGAGCTTTGCCTTCATCCAGGGACTGCCGCCTTTGAGGCAAAATGCCTCGACCCCTCCCATCCCACACCCCACACCCCCGCCCCTGCCAACCCTTGAACATTCTGGCTTCACCCCCAGGCCTGACCTAATCGACTTCGATAAATTGAAGGACTCCAATGCACGGCACAACCTGGAGCATGCATTTGATGTGGCCGAGCGCCAGCTGGGCATCATTCCACTCCTGGACCCTGAAGGTGAGCCAGCAGCCACCCTGACTGCTTGGCTGCAGTGAGGGGAGATGGCGCTGATGCAGGGGTAACACTGCCCTGACAGGACCCACAGAGGAGTCTAGGCCATGACCAGAGCGAGGGCTGGCGGCCAGGTGGGGCTCTGGGCCTGCTTCTCAGATCCATGATGGTTGGTTGTCCCTCCCCTGGCCTGTCTAAGAGACATCTCTCTCTCTCTCTCTCTCTCTCTCTCTGTCTCTCTCTCTGTCTCTCTCTCTTTCTCTCCCTCATTCTCTCCCCCCTCTCTCCCTCTCTCTCTCTCCATCTCTCTCTCTCATCTCTCTCTCTCTTTCTCTCCATCTCTCTGTATGTGTCATATCATATCTTTCTTGTGGTCCTAACGTAGATTTCATCCTCTGGTTAAACCCCTCCCAGACCCATTACTTTTCCATTCCTGTCCCGCTGGGTGACACTGGGAGCCCGTAGTTGAACTTACGTGCTAGAGGAAGATCACCCCTCTGAACCCCACCTTTCTGGCTTCCAACTGTTCTGAACATATCCCCATTCCCCTTGCAGATGTCTTCACAGAAAATCCTGACGAGAAATCCATCATTACTTATGTGGTAGCATTCTACCACTACTTCTCCAAGATGAAGGTGCTAGCGGTGGAGGGCAAGCGTGTTGGCAAGGTACTGAGGAGCTGTTTCATAGCCAGTGTTCCCCCATCCCCACCCCATTTCCCCGCCTGTCACAATAGGTTTTGCACGTTCCATCCTACGGGCTTCATGTCTGGGGCCAGAGAGATGACTCAAAGGCCAAATGCTCAGCATTGCCAATAGGTGGGAGTCCAGAGTCCTAGCCCACCCTGGAGGGTCTCTTGAGCACTGCTGTGGGGTCTCCATCTCTGAGGGGTTGCAGTTCACCCCCACCACCACCAACACCAACTTCCGCTGCAGCCAACCTTTCCAGGGCTCCCAGGCAGCACACCAAAGCAGGTTGATACTCTGTCCTCTAAGACCAAGCCTGTAGCTCTCGGCCATCTTCTGTCTGTGGACACAGGTTCCAGGAAGGGCCTGGAGGAAGCAGATAGGCTTAATTCAGTTAGTTTGTTGGGTTTTCAGGCCTCTGTCACAGTGTGCTACGAACCCATCCCACCTGGACAGCCCCTTGTGCCAAGTTCCTCTCCCCTGTCGGGTCTTTTACTGCTTTCAGTGTGGGCTCCGCTGCTCGTTTCTCTGTGTGAGTCTGCCGCTCAGTTAAGAGAGAGCCCAGGAGCTCTCAGAGCCTAAGGGACATTCCTCAGCCCTCTGGGGAGCTGACAAAGCATGCCTCCTCTTTTATAGCAGAGCTTCCCAAACCTATTTGGTCTACTGCCCCTTTTCAGAAAATAATAGTAATAATAATAATAATAATAATAATAATAATCAGTGTCACTGTCCTCCCGTTGTTCATCAATTTGCTCGAGCGGGCCCAGTAACGTCTCCTTGTAAGACTTGTTATTGTGTTTGGCATATCGAATATGTCTCGGGTAGCTTGCCAGGCTTTGCCATGCGGGCTAGATACTCCCAGTAACTTGCTGGGCTCTCTGAGAGGGGCGGAGGAATTGAACCTGGGTCGGTCGGGTCAGCCGCATGCAAGGCAAACACCCTACCGCTGTGCTATCATTCCTATAATATTAATATTATTAATTATTATTTTATTAATAATAACAACTCACTTAAGGCTCCATCCCCACTGGGAATCCACCTTCTTTAAATCAACAAGCAGAAAAGTGACCTTCAGTTGCACCCCAGGCTACTGCCAAGTCTAGGATCAGTCACAGTGCCCACCCTGGGGGTCTATTACTCACTTTTGGAAACATTGTTTTAGAAGATTGGGGACCAGCCCAGTCTTTTGCCACAGGAAATCAGACCATGACAGGGGTGAGAGGAGCAGGAACCCCCCCGACCAAGGCACCCTTTCCGTACTCCCCTTGGGTAGCCATCGGCCAGGTGCTCCACCCACAGCAAATAACTGGTATGAGGTTTACTAGGTGATTGACCATGCCATTGAGACGGAGAAGATGATTGAGAAGTACAGCGGGCTGGCCTCTGACCTGCTCACGTGGATCGAGCAGACCATCAGCGTCCTGAACAGCCGCAAGTTTGCCAACTCGCTGGCTGGCGTCCAGCAGCAGCTGCAGGCCTTCAGCACCTACCGCACTGTGGAGAAGCCACCCAAGTAGGCACCACACTGATGGTGGTGGGCAGGGATGGGGCGGGTTTGGGGGGCAGGGGGTGGCCAGGGGGTAGGAAACTCATCTCCAGAAGGCAGTCAGGCCCTGGACCATATGAAGTATGTTTGTCTGTGTGTATCTGTGTGTGTGTGTGAGAGAGAGAGAGAGAGAGAGAGAGAGACAGAGAGAGACAGAGAGAGACAGAGAGAGACAGAGAGAGAGACAGAGACACAGAAAGAGAGAGATTATGCTAGGGGTTAAAGTTTTCTTATCTATCCTCACTTTAGTCCCCACCTTGACTCCTTGCTCCCAAACTGTCAAAGCTGACAGTGACCATACGGGCACTGTTGGGTAACCTCAAACCCCTCACCAGAAAGTACTTTCCCAGATCTCTGAGGGTTCTTCTTTCAAAGAAACTGTGCTGGAAGGTAAGTTCTTCCCACACTATGTGTGACCTCTGAATGCTCAGGCCAAAGCTCTGTATGGGACCTGGTTGGTCATCAAGTACATCCTCTTCTCCCTTGTCTGCTACTGATCACCTACAGAGCACCTTGCCTGCCTGTTGGGCATACCTGGGCATACACACACAGGGTGGTCCAGCAGGCCTGAGGGACAATTTCTGGTGGTGCCCTCCACTGCCTGGTTCATACCTTTCTCTCTGACACACTTTGTTCATGACTCTTAAAAAGAGACACTGAGTCTAGAGTAGGGTGTTTGCCTTGCATGTGGTCAGCCTGGCCAACCCTGGCCAACCCTGGCCAACCCCGAGGGCGATTCCTCCACCCCTCTCTGAGAGCCCGGCAAGCTACCAAGAGTATCTCACTCACATGGCAAAGCCTGGCAAGCTACCCATGACATATTCTATATGCCAAACACAGTAACAACAAGTCTCACAATGGAGACGTTACTGGGCCCGCTCGAGCAAATCGATGAACAATGGGAGGACAGTGACAGTGTGATTACAGTGAGTCTAGAGTGTACTATAAACAGGTACCTGATTCCTGATCTGACCCTAACCCACTTTTAAAGTCCTCAATTCAGGACAGGGGAGATTCTCTGACACTCTGCCAGGCTCTCCATGGGGCTGCAGACTCCTGGCTGTGTGGATGGTGTCAGAGGCCCCAGCACAAGCAGAACACCCCCCAGGCAGTTAGATGTATGGTGGGCCTGCAGGCTGGGCTGAGTCAGTCTGCAGCCCCTCCACAGGTGGAGGTTGCAAGCAGTGGGAAGACACTTGGGTATTTGTTGATGTGAAAATACCAAGTGACCTGGAGTTTGAACCCAGGGTTCAGCCATCCATCCTGTGGCTGAGTCATTTCCATGCGTCCATCTAAGATCCTCTGGGGTCCTGCCTTTCTCCCTGTTCAGGAGCACCCTGCCTTTCATGCTTGTCTGAGGTATCAATCCTTGGGCCTCAGTGAAAGACACTTCCAGGGCCGCGTGCTCTTATGCAGATGCTGCCGCTTCTAGAACTCCAAGGACTCATTCAGAAAATGGGCCGAGGAACCTGAGGTTTTGTAAATGTATGTGCACGTGCACCCTGGGTAGGAGCAAGTCCCTGACAGGCAAACAAGGTGCTCTGCTGATTTACTTTTACCATGATTTATAGTGCAGGGGAGCACTTTTCCACATTGATTAGAAAAAGTTGTTATCTCCAGAAATTACCAGAATAATCAACCTTTCCTCTGTGTCAGCAAATAAGAGATAAGCAAAACCATGCTAGAGCTTGTGTTGATTTGTCCTGCAAAGGTCCAGCCCTGCTAGTCTCAGCTGGGAAGGACAGCAGCTGTTGGAGCAGGTAAGTGAAACTGCCTGCCTTAGTAAACTAAGAAGAGATCCTCGTTACTTTGGTTGTACGGAAAGATGCTTTGCTCCACAGACTCAGATGCCAGGACTCCATGTTGACCTCAAAGTTTGGCTCTGGGCATCTAAACTAATCTCCCTACTTCTGTGTTCCTGGCAGGTTTCAGGAGAAGGGGAATCTGGAAGTTCTACTGTTTACCATCCAGTCCCGCATGAGAGCCAACAATCAGAAAGTGTACACACCCCATGACGGGAAGCTTGTGTCTGACATCAACAGGGTACAGCTTCTTCCTGTCACCAGCGGCCACTGTGGGGGTTGGTTAGGGCATAGAAGTGCTCCTCAAGCAGGTCTAACTCAGGGCACATATGTGATGTTATTAGTGACACCTGCTGGCCACTCACAGTCCCCTCTGAACCTAGTTCTGAAAAGGCAGATTCCATCCACCACCCATCATTTCTGCCCCCGTTCATACTCCCAAGGTCCACTTTTCAGAGCCAGTTGATACCAGCTAGCTACAGAGAATTGCATTCCTCTGTGTGTAGAAAGTTAATCACTTGTAGCAGAAGGGATAGAATTTAATGGCAGCCTTTCTCAACTGGGAACCCAGGGTATGCTACAGTACGAAACGAGTGGGCCAATTGTAGGACAACGGAGACACAGAGAGGAAACAGGAGGGGACCGTGGTTTGTAGGAAGGCTGAAAAACACTGCTTTATGGTGTTTTAGAAGGTTGTAGACTTACCACCATCTAGATCTAGTAGAATAGAGGTGACCACTTAGTAAGAATTGACTGAGCAGAGGCCAGAGAGATAGCAAGTACAGTGGTTAGAACACTTGCCTTGCACATGACTGACCAGGATACCTCATATGGTCCCCTGAGCACACAGGTGTGATCCCTGACCATAGAATTAAGTATAAACATTGAGCACTGCCCAGTATGGCCCAAAAACCAAAGAAAAAAATGAAAAATTATTTACTGGGTAGGGATAGAAAGAGCTCAACAAGCTGAACATATGCTCTGCATGCGGAAGCCAGGGTACCACATGGACCCATAAGTACTGCTGGAAGCAGCCCCTGAGCACAGAACTGGAAGTAGCCTCCAAGCACTGCCAATATGACCCAGGAACCAAAATGCAAAAAATAAAATAATTTACTTCTGCCCAGGGAAATAACATGATATGGAGCCCATAGTCCACAGTCAGAGGCAAGCTTCAGGGAGTTGTAATAATGCCCCCCCCCTCCCAAATCTTTGGTTGACTCAGGCATGAAAGCAAAGGCTAAGAGCTTTCTTCTGCTACCACCTCCCGGGGATGCAAGGCTCTGCCCAGATTCTGGAAATCACTCAGTGCTTAAACATAGGGATGGGGTCAACCCCCCACGCACAATTCTCAGGGTTTCTCTTGTGCCTGAAGAGTTCTCCATGTCCCTCATACAGGCCTGGGAAAGCCTGGAGGAAGCAGAATATCGGCGAGAGCTGGCCCTGAGGAACGAGCTCATTCGACAGGAGAAGCTGGAGCAGTTGGCACGGCGCTTTGACAGAAAGGCGGCCATGAGAGAGACGTGGCTTAATGAAAACCAGCGCCTTGTGGCCCAGGTAACAGGCAGCACACCGGGGTGGCAGGAGGGGACACTTCCCCAAGCAGGTGGGTTAAGATTATCATTAGAGAGGTTCGTCAGATGGTTCGGTGGCTTAGGAAGTGCCCAGGATAAGCTTGAAGCTTTGACTTTAATCCCCAGTGTCCTGCAAGGGCTAAGTGGATCCTGCCTGCCCTGTGGTCTGGGGTCCTGTTCTTCAGCCTAGGGTTTGTGTACCAGTCCCTGTCCCTGAACTTCTTGGTGGTCTTCCAAAAATCTCCTTCTAGCCATAGTGTTCATACCAGTGATTTTCAACCAGTCACCCCACCAGTGTTGGTCCTTGGGCGTAATAAGTTTGAAAACCACAGATCCAGAATTATGGTAATGAACTGGCACAGGTTTGTTAAGGTTGAAACCCGTGGAGGTCTCTGGCAAGAAGTAAAGTGACCAAAACAAAAATGCATCTGAGCAAGTACATATTAGGATGTGTTGAGTCCCATTCTTAGAAAAGAGTTTCCCAATCCCTAAATGGCCCCAAGTGATCCTATGGGAGTCTGTGGGTCTTGGAGGCAGCCCTGTGAGCAGAGGGTGGGCTGGGACTCCCAGAGACTGTGCCCTCGTGCCCTGGCCTCCAGCCCCGAGACTCACTTCACTCATTGAAGCCTGACAAGAACTCACTCTTCGCAAGAGCATGTCCTGTTCCCAACCTGCATCTTAGAATCTAATTCAGCTCCACCAGAAAGGGGAAAATGGGTATTGTGGGTGCATTAGGGGAGTCAGCCTATGTCTGGTAGCAGCCACTGAGCCTCTTTGTGGAACTCCTGTGTGCCCCCTCCTGCCACCACCTGACAGGGCCTTGACTGCCAGCGGGCATGAAAGGGCAGTGTTCTTACTATCCCTTAGCCTTACCCCTGGGTGGAACACAGTCAGTGAAGCCTGCAACTGCTGCTAAAAGTTCTTTTGAGACATTTGGCCTCTGGAACAAGACTCCGCCTTGAGAGGCTGAGAGGGATAGCAGAACTGAGTCCTGGGAAGGAGTAGCCCCATCTTCCCATCCTTCCCGGAGGATCCCGCTTTCCCACCTTGGAGGTCCGGTCAAGGGCAGTCTGCCTGAGCTGCCTTTCTCTCTCCCCATGGAATAGGACAACTTCGGGTATGACCTGGCGGCCGTGGAAGCTGCCAAGAAGAAGCACGAGGCCATCGAGACAGACACTGCCGCCTATGAGGAGCGGGTGAGGGCCCTGGAGGACCTGGCCCAGGAGCTGGAGAAGGAGAATTACCATGACCAAAAGCGCATCACAGCCCGCAAGGACAACATCCTGCGCCTATGGAATTACCTGCAGGAGCTGCTGAGGGCCCGGCGCCAGAGGCTCGAGACGACTCTGGCACTGCAGAAGCTCTTCCAGGACATGCTGCATAGCATTGACTGGATGGATGAGATCAAGGTGGGTCCAGCCCAGGTCTCGGTGAGGGCCCTGCATTTATGGTGGCATCAGTGCCACCACACAGGGACTCGAAGGGATGGCTGTTAATCAGAAGGCTAGAGAACCAGACACTGCAGAACCATGATTTGACTCTGCTTATAGCCCAGCTTTCCCAGAATAGGGGTGACCAAGGAATCAGAATCTCAGGGAGGCTGGAGAGATCATTCAAAGGGCCAGAGCACAGGCTCGGCATGCAGGAGACCAGGGTTCAATCCCCGGGCCCTTGAGCACCAGAAGTAGCCTCTGAGCAAAAACCAAAGTCGACGTCTTCTCTCCATTTGAGAAGACGCAGCAGACTGGTACTGCAGACTGGCACTGCAGATTGGTCATGGAGCTTTTTCAAAGTGCCAATCCCTGGCCCCAGGCCTGGGCTCGTGCAGCCCGTCGAGTGTGGGACTTATGTTCTGTAACATGTCCCATTGCAGGACTGTGGAAGCCCTGTGGTGAGCTTCTGCTTGCCCAGCAGCAGCCCTTCCATGTGTACCTCTACCTCCCACTCCTAGAAAGAGGGGTCTCCTCAACCCTTCTATTCCATCTTTCCTCTATGCCAGGGTCACCTTTTATCTGCCGAATTCGGGAAGCACTTGCTAGAGGTCGAGGACTTGCTGCAGAAGCACAAGCTGATGGAGGCTGACATCGCCATCCAAGGGGACAAGGTGAAGGCCATCACCGCCGCCACTGCACAGTTCACCGAGGGCAAAGGTGAGGCCGCAGGTGCCTCTGCGTGCAGCTCTGAAGAAATGCCCCATCCTTGGGCAAGTACTGCTGCACTCCAGCCTGGAAAAACCTCCTAGCTTTAGAATTCTGCCCCACTCATCACTGGTGTGGGAAAGGAGTTTGAGGGAGAGCAAAGCCTGAGTGAGTTGCTCTACCTTCTGCCATCAGAGGGTTTTTATATGCAGTCAGTTCCAGTGATAGCCCTGCTAGACCCATGTGGGTGTCTGACTTCAGATCTTCAACAGGACGCTCCTCATAGCATCATCTCAAAATTGGTGACCAGGACTTTTGAAAAATAATGTGCTTTCAACTGAGTACTAACCCAACTTTTCATTCCCCTGATTCCTGAAATTTTAGTGGTAAATCATCCTAAAGAACTTCCCCTGCCCATAGAATGACTGGGACCCCCTTGCCAACATCCCCCTAAGATGGCGAGTTCTAGATATCATGCATCTAGCCTGCAGCTGTTCAAAAGCACTTCCTTATCCCTTGATCTTCCTTCCTCCCATCTCACAGGGTACCAGCCTTGTGACCCCCAGGTGATCCAGGACCGGGTCAGTCACCTAGAGCAGTGCTTTGAGGAGCTGAGCAATATGGCAGCAGGGCGCAAGGCCCAGCTGGAGCAGTCCAAGCGGCTCTGGAAGTTCTTCTGGGAGATGGACGAGGCTGAGAGCTGGATCAAGGAGAAAGAACAAATCTACTCCTCTCTGGATTATGGCAAGGACCTGACCAGCGTGCTCATCCTGCAGCGCAAGCACAAGGCCTTTGAGGATGAGCTCCGGGGGCTGGACACCCACCTGGAGCACATCTTCCAGGAGGCTGAGGCTATGGTCTCACGCAAGCAGTTTGGGCACCCTCAGATCGAAGCCCGAATCAAGGAGGTGGCCGCCCAGTGGGACCAGCTGAAGGAGCTGGCCGCCTTTCGAAAGAAGAACCTCCAGGATGCAGAGAACTTTTTCCAGTTCCAGGGTGACGCAGATGACCTGAAGGCCTGGCTCCAGGATGCCCACAAGTTGCTGTCCGGGGAAGATGTTGGGCAGGACGAAGGGGCCACACGGGCCCTGGAGAAGAAGCACAAGGACTTCCTGGAGGAGCTGGAGGAGAGCCGAGGGGTGATGGAACATCTAGAACAACAGGCGCAGGGCTTCCCTCAAGAATTCCGGGATTCCCCAGATGTGACCAGCCGGCTGCAGGCCCTCCAGGAGCTCTACCAGCAGGTGGTAGCTCAGGCAGACCTTCGCCGGCAGAGGCTGCAGGATGCACTGGACCTATACACGGTGTTCGGGGAGACAGACGCCTGCGAGCTGTGGATGGGCGAGAAGGAGAAGTGGCTGGAACAGATGGAAATCCCGGACACGCTGGAGGACCTGGAGGTGGTGCAGCACAGGTGAGAGCAGCTCTCCCTCCCCTGCTCCCTACATCAGGCACCTCCGGAACTCTCTGGGCCACCCCTAGCTCCCTCTGGCTGTCTGGGTCACACTGACACCCCCAAATCACTGAGTCACCTCCTTCCCCCCACCTCAATTCTCCAGATCATCAGCTCCCGACCTACAACTCTTTGAATCATCCCAGCACCCCCACACCCGACTGTCAGGGTCACCCTTGGCCACTGAAACTCTCCAGGCCACTTGCTGCCCCTGCCCCAAATTTCCGGGCCACCCATGCCCACACTCTTGACCCTCTGTCACAGGGGCCATGCTGAATGGCCACCCTTTCACACAGAGGTCAGGCCTCAGAAGTCACGGGCTTGAATGTGACCATGATGCTGAATCCCCAGTCCTGGCCTTCCGAGTTCAGATACTCATCTGCCCTTCAGCTCCAACTACCTCAAAAGATTTGACATGAAACCCCAAGCACAGAGCACCAAGGAAAGGGGAGCATGTCTGTGGGAGGAGGGAGGAAGGGCAGCTGGACCCACCAGCTCTGCCGCAGCGCCCATGCCCACAGAACCCCCAGGGCCCCCTGAGCCAGATTGTGAGCGGCTGGCCCTCAAGACCACGGCTCATTTCCAGAACTCTGATCCCAGCAAGACTCAGTGGGACACCCCAACTCCATCTGTATGGCATCCCAGCTTCCTCAGCAGGCACAGATCCAGGAGACGTGCAGGAAAGCCCCACCGCTACCCCCCAGGAGTCTGGGAACTTTCCCAGATGGGGGTTTCAAAACCCACAGTCCTCCCCCAGGCCTCTGCCTGTGCCCACAAGTGAGGCAGCTGGCGAGGGCATGAGATGTATAGGAGGCAAGGGTATCCTTCAGATCAGGGTGTCAGGTGGTCAAATTCAGGTCCACAGAGGCCTGGCAGGTGGTCTTACTGTAGCAATACACACGCATGTGCATGCACACACACACACACACATACACACACACACACACACACTCTTTCTTTGCCCCTTTTGCCCCTCTATTGAGCTGGTGGCCTCTATGTAAATAACCAGCCCTACAACTGGTTTCAGAAAAACTAATCCATAATATTGAACCATGAAACAGAAAAGAGAAGTGTCAGCCTACCTGTCACAAATACCCACACCCTCATGGCCCACTTACCTGGTCTATGTATTCGGGAGGTAGAAGGAGGAAGCAAGAGCGTTCCAGGTCAGGGTGGCCTTGGACTGGAAGGGCCTGCCACTGCCCCCTAACCCCCTGCCACTGCCCCCTAAACCTTGCTTTCCCTTCCTGTCAGGTTTGACATCTTAGACCAGGAGATGAAGACCCTGATGGCTCAGATCGACGGCGTGAACCTGGCTGCCAACAACCTGGTCGAGAGCGGTCACCCACGCAGTGGGGAAGTCAAGCAGTGCCAGGACCACCTGAATACCAGGTGGGCAAGGGGGAGGGCGGGGCGGAGGCATCTCCTCCCACACCTCACGGGGTGGGGGTGGGGGCTTGGGGGAGGGATCAGAGAACTCCTGCCATGCTTGTACCCTCAAAGCTCCCATCTTTTCCAGCCTCAGTCTCCCTCTGACGCTGGCACTTGGCAGCCAGAAGGAAGGCTGTGGACGGGCAATTGGCCCCGGGAGGCGAGCTCCACTGTGTGCCTGGGAAGGGGGCGTCCTATTCACGGCGGGGGGGGGGGGTCATTCTGAGTGCGCCTGTAATTAGAATCAGGCCATGTGGGACTCCCAGCACATCTCCCTCTACATTCTTCAGCAGGGAAAATTGCTTTCTGAGAGCTCTTAAGTGCTATCCATAAAAATAAAATCTCCTGCCTGCGCCAAAATGCAGCATCCATAACGAGGCTGGCCCGAATGGAAGAATGAGCTGGAAGCCTCTGTGGCCGGAACCAAAAGCAGCCCTGAGGCGTCTGTGCAGAAGGGGTTGCTTTTAGTACAGGGATGATGGTCCTCGAGCTCCCTGAGGTCTCTCAAGACACAGCACGAACCTCTGTATCCCTGATCCATGGTCTTGGGGCTGCATACAGCAAAGCAGAGTGTTGTGCACCTGCCCACGGCCCACCCCACTTCCCACACTGGGGTCTGACTCGGGCTCTGCCTGAGGCCTTCTGGGAGGTGGAACCAGGGAAGGAAAGGGCTGGCGCCATGCAGGACTCCAAGGGAGGCCCTTCAGGGAGGCAAGAGTGAGCAGGATACTTTGGGGCCAACAGGTCTCAGTCTGCAGAGAGGGGTCTGTGCTGGGCAGGAGATGGCTGCCCTCCTGGAGGCCCCACGGTGCTGGGAAGAGCTAGTCAGCTCCGCCTTTGTTCTCTCCATGAGCAGTTGTTAAGAAGGTTGCTCTTTCTACACTGCCATGCTTTTCAGCCAGCCCAAGTGAGTCAGGTCAGAGTACTTGCCTTTCTCAGGTGAGAGAACGTGAGACCTGAAGGGAAAAGAGTCGAAAGCTACCTGAATAGTCATCGAGCTTAGCCATATACCCTAGAAGTCTGAGCCCTGCACAAACAGTTGAACAGGGGCTGCTCTCCCCGATCTCAGGTCCCCCATCCCATTTTCATTAGAAAGGATGATCTTACCATAGTAAGTGGATAACTATTTCCTTTCATACAGATACTGATAGACTGATTCTAGTTCAGATCTAGTTCTGACCTTTAGCCAGTTCAGAACTTATTCTGCTTCTTCTTCATGATTACTTTTTACATATGCTTTTTTTTTCTTTTTTCAATTTAAAAACTTGACAGGGCCATACCCAGCAGTGCCAATGACTGTCAGCCACTCCTGGCAAACATGGGTCAGGCAGTCCTCAGGCTGATGGTGCTTGAGAGCCAACAGGACCACTCCAAAAGGTGGGGGTGGTGCTCAGGGGCCCATGTGGTGCTGTGGATTGAATTTAGGGCCCCTGAGTAAAGTGAAAGTAGAAAAAGGTAAAGTAAAAACACCACTTATCCCTACAACTGGCTCTAAATCCAACTCTTAAGGCAGAGGGATAGCTCAGTGGATTGAGGGCAGTCTCTGCAAGCTGGAGGCCCAGGTTTGATCCCCTGTGTCACAAGGTTCCTTACACACAGCTGGGAGCCAGGAGCACCAAGCCACAAGTCACCTATGAGCACACTTAGGTGTGACTCCAAAACAAAGGAGTGGTCATTCCACACCTTACCACCAGCCCCTTCTCTAGCCTGCTCCTCCTCTGCCAGTGCTCACTCTCCTCCAGCTTCGTAGTCCCAATCACAAATCACAGCTCTCCCTCAGGCCAGCCGTGGACCACTCCTCCCCAACAGTCCCAGAGGAAAAACTCTCTTTCCCACTTTTGAACTGGTTTAGAACTTTCTATTGTATCTTGCATAATTGTTATGTACTAAAGTCCGTTCCTGCTGTGATGTTAGCAAATGAAGACTCTGTCTTTCTATGCTGCCCTCGGTGCTTTCAACACCGAGCGCGTTATTGTCTGAGCTTCCTTCAGTTTGGAGTATTCTCTTGCCATATGCCCACTTAACTTGCCCCCTTACATTATTCCTGTCTCAGCTCACATGTCACTTACCACCCCCTTGAAAGTATTGTACACCATCTCTCCCCCAGCTCCTTCGCCGCTGTTCTGTTACAATGCTTTATTCCTTCTTGATCTATCTCCACTTGACGGATCATAGACATAAGTCCTTGCCCACTCAAGCAGGAGTGAGCTCTTTGCTTTGTTCATTGCAGCTTCCCCAAAGCCTACACACAACATATGATCATTGCATGATAAATGAGTGAACAGGGGCAAAACTGAAATCGCTTCTAATTAGCAAAGCACAGATCAGTTAATCAAACACTCGCTCAGTGTGTGATGACCTTACACCAAGTATTTCAGTTGGCACTCATTTTCCTTGTAACTTGGACTCCAGGACCAAGTCAGAACCTCTTGCACAGGCTGGCTGGTACTGGCTTCAATGGCCAGCATCTCATCCATCCTGCAGGAGAAAAAGTGGAAGGGAAGAGTGGGTTTGGCAAGTGGATGATGTTGCCAAATAACAATCTTTTCCCTCTGTGATCTCTCCTTATGCCTGGAGGCCAGGAAAAGACCTAGAAACACCCCCCCACCCCCAGGGATCTCTTGCCTGTTGGTACAGTCTACCCTCTCCAATGACCTTGGGTTGATCTGCGGGGGGTGGTATCCCAGCCCTCAAGAGCCTCGCTGTTATTTCAATTTCATAATGCTGTGGGCCTAACTTCTAACTTCTGACTTCCTAGCCTCAGCACCACTCCTCTGAGTGCAGGAACAGAATCCTCAGAGCTCAGGGAGTTTGTGGTCTAAAGTGGAGCTGAGTCATCACTGGGTTTGCATTCTTCTCTCTGCTTTTCTGTCCTTCCTGCCCACCTCCCAGTGCTGCTGTTCCACCTTGGGAATAGCCACGGTGCATTCCTCCAGGCCCTCTGCCTTGTCCTTTGGCCCTCCATCGCCACCCCCAGCTGCAGAGGAAGCAAAGACAAGTGAGACTCAGGGCTCATCCTTAAGCGGATCCCTTGGTGGGGGCACTGAGACCCACCTGGAAAGAGTTCCCAAATGGCCTCCATGATATTGCCACTAATTTCTGTGGCTCTGCATAGCTCTCAAGTCATTCTGCCTGACATGCTGTCCCTGCAGACTTGATTTGCCACCTCTCACACCTGTATCCAGCCCCAGTCTCTGTACCCCAGTGGCATTTGCAAACCACTTCTTTATACTGCAGTTACTCTATGCTGTCACGACTGTATTCTCTCAAAGGCTAAAAGAATGTTGTGTGTGTTGAGAAAAGAGGGGTCAACCTGCCAATGAGCTGTCAGCATCCTCTTGTGAGCTTAAGTCTCTCAGTGGCAGAGAGTGGGTCAGCGGTCAGCCAGGTCTGAGGAGGCACAGGATAGCCTGGGCCAGGGCTGAGGCGCACCTGCCATGATGCCCCACATGTCCTGGGATCAGTGCAGCCCTGCCTGGGAGAGTGTGCGCTCTGCCAATTAGTCCCCCACTCGGTTCGCTCTTCAAATGAGTTCCCCTCCCCCCTCCACTTTCTATCCTCTTCTTCATTAGACTGTCCCCCTTCATTGCTGTTGCAGTGCCAGGGCTATTGTGCTGTGCTGGGCACTGGTGTGTGTCCAGGAGCTACACCAGCAGTGCCATATAATCACACACAGTGATTCAGAAGGAGACGGGATGGAGGAAGTCAGGGCCTGACCCGGGCGAAACAGCCGCTCTCTCACGAGGCCTCAGCCCAGGGGGCCAGGCCTCTTTTCCTCTTAGAACCAAGGCATCCTTTTTTTAAGGCTCTGGACACTTTGGACACATTCTTTGGCATTTCTGATTCTTTCCAGCATTCGAAAACTCCAGGGAAACTGAATGTTTGCCTGAAATTTAACCCTACATAGAGCTGGTATATCATGTGCTTGATTCAGGGTGGGGTTTCTTTTCTGCCCACCCCTTGGTGATAGAAGGATTCAGTAGGTACCCCCTAAACTATATTCTAGGTATAAAGTTGTCTGTGGGGCCAGGGCAATAGTGCAGAGGATTAGGTGCTTGTCTTGCCTATGGCTGATGTGGATTTCATCCCTAGAGCCTTATATTATCCCCCCAGCAGAGCCAGAAGTGATGCCTGAACACAACTTGGATGTGACCTCCCAAAATAGCAAATGGGCTGTGATCAATGATGGTATCCCCAGGGTGTGGGATAGATGACCATGACTTGAATGTGTGATCTGGAAGGGTGAAGGGCACGGGTGTGTCTGTGCCCTCACAGGTGGCAGGCATTCCAGACCATGGTGTCCAAGCAGCGGGAGGCTGTGGACTCGGCCCTCCGGGTACACAACTACTGCGTGGACTGTGAAGAGACCAGCAAGTGGATCGAGGACAAGACGAAGGTGGTAGAGTCCACAAAGGACCTGGGCCGGGACCTGGCAGGTGTCATTGCCATCCAGCGGAAGTTGTCCGGGCTGGAACGAGACGTGGCCGCCATCCAGGCCCGCGTGGGTGCCCTGGAGCGGGAGTCACAGCGACTAATGCAGTCCCACCCCGAGCTGAAGGAGGACATCGGGCGGCGGCAGGCGTACGTGGAGGAGCTGTGGCAGGGCCTGCAGCAAGCCTTGCGTGGCCAGGAGGCCTCGCTGGGCGAAGCCAGCCAGTTGCAGGCCTTCCTGCAGAATCTAGATGACTTCCAGGGGTGGCTCTCCATGGCGCAGAAGGCCGTGGCCTCTGAGGACATGCCCGAGTCTCTCCCTGAGGCCGAGCAGCTCCTGCAGCAGCATGCGGCCATCAAGGAGGAGATTGACGGGCACCAGGGGAGCTACGAGAATGTGAAGGCCTCTGGGGAGAAGGTGATCCATGGCCAGACCGACCCAGAGTATCTGCTCTTGGGTCAGCGGCTGGAAGGCCTAGACACTGGCTGGGATGCCCTGCAGCGAATGTGGGAGAGCCGCGGCCGCTCCCTCGCCCAATGCCTCGGCTTCCAGGAGTTCCAGAAAGATGCCAAGCAGGCAGAAGCCATCCTCAGCAACCAGGTAAGGGGAGGCATTCAGGGCTGGGGACGGTGAAGGGCCTCAGGGCTCCAGCACAGGTGAGTCTGTGTACTCCGGGACCCAGTGATGCTTTTTCGGATGCTGTCCAGGTACTAATGAAGAGGGCACAGTTTTCTCTGCATCCCAAACTGCCTCAATTTGCCCCAGGATAAGGACTTTAGGAATGCTTGTCATTGGGTGCCTCAGAATGGTGGTTTCAAGGCCTGGGGAGCCTCTTTCTTTTTTATTTGTTTTTATAAAGTTGTTCATGATTTATTACATTTAGTATTCCAACACCAATCCTACCATCGGTGCACCTTCCCACTATCATTATTTCCAGCGAGCCTCTTTCTTACACAGAGCTAGGGGGCGCCGTTTGTCCTGTAGACAGTCTGGATATGTATATGGTGCCCCCAGCCCAGCTGGGCTTCATTTCTGGGATGGAAACTTGCCTCGACAGGAATACACTCTGGCTCACTTGGAGCCCCCCGACTCCCTGGAAGCTGCTGAGGCCGGGATCAGGAAGTTTGAGGACTTCTTATTGTCCATGAAGAATAACCGGGACAAGGTCTTGAGTCCTGTGGACTCTGGAAACAAGCTAGTCGCTGAGGGCAATCTCTACGCAGACAAGATCAAGGAGAAGGTGCAGCTGATTGAGGACAGGTACGCCCCGTGACCAGGACCCTGGCTGGAACCAGGGGTGCCACGTGGGGAGGTGGGCACCGCCCAGGGTTGGCTGCATTTCCGGCTTCTCTTCCAGATACATGAAAAACAATGAGAAGGCCCAGGACGCCTCTGCTCTTCTGAGAGACAACCTGGAGCTCCAGAACTTCCTGCAGAACTGCCAGGAGGTAAGAACAGCCCTGGGGGGAGGCTGGGAGGAGGGGCGTGGCTGCTTCACAGCAGCAGTACATCTGGGGTGGGGTTCCCAGGACACTGGGGTGTGGGGCATGCATGAGGGACTCTGGGTCTTTCTCTCCTATCTTCAGTTCCCCAGTTCCCTCCTTTTTCTACCCCACCCCACCCCCCCAAATCTAAGGCATGCATCACCTTTCAATTTGTATAGTCTTAGATAGGGTTTCCTAAGACTGTGGTGCTAACAGTCCCCAGGCCCCTTATGGGGACCCTTTCGAGAGTACGTGAGCCTTGCGCTGAGCAGGGCCCATGTCTGGCTCAGTGCTCTGCTGTGGTCTCCTGCACTGGGTGATACTTTTCAACATTACTTTCTTTCTGTGTTTTTTTTAATATATTTTTTAATATTTATATTTTTAAATTTTTTTAATTTTAATGTAGAAAAAAAGCCATAACTGTTCATTCAGTTCTAGGATCAAAAGTGATTAGATAATGGGGCTGGAGCGATAGCACAGTGGGTAGGGCGTTTGCCTTGCACACAGCCAACATGGCCAACACAGATTCGATTCCCAGCATCCCATATGGTCCCCTGTGCACCGCCAGGAGTGATTCCTGAGTGCATGAGCCAGGAGTAACCCCTGAGCATCGCTGGGTGTGACCCAAAAAAGCAAAAAAAAAAAAAAGCGATTAGATAACAAAACTGCACTTTTGAGCATTTCTGTTTTGCACTCACCCTGAGCACGGAGGAGCTGGTGCTGGCCCACTTCCGGTGCAGACTCTTAAGCCCCACTCGGCTAAGTCAGAACCCTCGGGGGAGAGAGAGCTCTTTCAGCAAGCCTCCAGGTTGGAACACAACTGTCCAGACACCTTCAGCCTGGAGCCAGCTGTGCAGGCCTTTCCCCTGCACCCTGAACCCTTCTATCCCAGCACTCTCTGAAGCGGGACTTTCCCTGACACCTTCCTTGCACTCACCCTCATCTCCCTTTCCTGTTTTCCCAGACTGCTTCTGTTTTTATTCACCTGTGCTCTTGACAGGTGAGCTGGAGAGATAGCACAGTGGGTAGGGCATTTGCCTTGCACGCAGACAACCTGGGTTTGATTCTTCCGCCCCTCTCAGAGAGCCCAGCAAGCTATCAAGCGTATCTTGCCTGCACAGCAAAGCCTGGCAAGCTTCCCGTGACGTATTTGATATGCCAAACACAGTAACAACAAGTCTCACAATGGAGACGTTTCTATGCCCGCTCAAGCAAAATCCATGAACAAGGGAGAACAGTGACAGTGACAGTGCTCTTGACACCAGTCGGGCTTGTTGGGGTGTAAGACAGCTTTGAAATAGGGGCATCTTGTTGCAGTCCTTCTTTTCTTCTTTTCTGATCGACTTTTTTCTCAGTTTACAAGACCTCTATAATTATGAAAATCTCTCTAATGATGGCCAGGATGGGGGGAGGGTGGACGTATTTTATCTATCCAGTAAATACCCCAGAAGGTCCTAACAACTTGCAAGCTGGAAATACACAAGAGTCACAACCTGTGCCTCCGTCAGCACACACGCTGGAGTTTCAGCCTGGAAACCAGGCTAACCCATAGGCCTGTGCTGGGACTGGGGGTTCTGTAAGTTAAGGGGTAAGACTGCTATCTCGCCTTCCTTGACCTGCTCCTGTGGCCAGAGGTGCCCGGGGGCTCTGGACACACAGGGTTGATCGTACCCGCTTCTGCCCACAGCTCACACTCTGGATCAACGACAAGCTGCTCACCTCCCAGGACGTCTCCTATGATGAGGCGCGGAACCTTCACAACAAATGGCTGAAGCACCAGGCCTTTGTGGCCGAGCTGGCTTCCCACCAGGGCTGGCTGGAGAGCATCGACGCGGTGAGTCAAGCTCCTGCTGCCGGGCACTGCCGGGCTGAGGGGCTTCACTGGGGAAAGCTGCTGGGGAAGGTGCAGCTCGGAGGGAGATAAAGAGTTTCTCAGCTCAGTGGTAAAAGCATCAGAGCACTGACGTCCTTGGTTAGAATCGGTGCTGCCTCTGGGGGGCCCTGATTCTGGGGGAGTCTCGGGCATGGGGGAACCTCCAGATTAGGGCTGCAGCTGCCTGGGCCTCTCGGCTGCGTGGGTCTCTCGGTTTGCTCACTCTTACTTGCCAGAAGGAGGATAATATGTGAGATGGGCAGAGGGGCTCAGGGCATCCCCCAGACCTCACCATCTCAGTGGGCAGAATGGCAGGGGGTGGTATTCCTGACCTCACCCACAGATGGGAACAGCACTGGCTCAGGGACTCAAGTCAGAATGACAGACACAGATTGGGGAGCCGGGACATTGACCCTCTCTGCTCTAGCTGTCCAGGGAGGACCAGGGGTCCATTCAGGCTGTGTCCATATGTGCCAGGAGGTAGGTTCTGGGGCTGGAGAGTTAGTGCACTTGCTTTGCACACCGGTGACATAGGTTCAATCCCCAGCTCTGCAGATGGTCCCCCGAGCATTGCCAGGAATGATCCCCGAGCACAGAGCCAGGAGTAGCCCTGAGCACTGCTGGGTTGTTTCCTCCCCCTAAAAAAAGTGGAGGCCCCAAGCCCAAAAGGATGATGTAATGACTCCCCCAACTTATCTGTGTTTTCCCATCTGTAAAATGAAGATAAGTACCTGTCTGATGGAGCGGTGGGCATTAAATACTTAAAAGACTAATAAAAGCCCTTAGAAGAGGACCTGGCAATCATTTGGCATCTAAAATACTATTAGTAGCAAAATTGATTCATCAGCCCAAGTCTTACTATAACAGTGCACCCCACCCCCACCTCCACCCCCACCCCCACCAAAGAGACATTTATGCAAGTGAAGAGCACGGAAAGCAAACTCAGGAAAGAAAGGGAAGAGGATCAGGAGAGGGTGAAAGCACAGGGCGAGGGTGTCTATGCTGCTTGCACCTGCATGGCTCCTGGATCTTTTGCTTCCTTCTCTCATTCTCAGCTGACCCTGTGGGAAATACCCGGGCACTAATGCAGGTCCCAGACTCAGCTCCCGCTGCTGCACTTCCATGCAGATAACTCTTGAGGTGCCTAGGCTCGGCCTGGCTTGGAATCAGGGCAGTGTCTTGGCCTTGCAGACCTCCTCCCCTCCTGGGCAGGGCTACTCCCCGGCTCCCAGATTCAGGCTGGCTCTCATGCCCCTCGCAGGAAGGAAAGCAGCTGATGGACGAAAAGCCCCAGTTTACGGACCTGGTATCCCAGAGGCTAGAAGCCTTGCACCGACTCTGGGAGGAGCTTCAGGCCACCACGCAGGAGAAAACCAAGCAGCTCTCGGCTGCCCGGAGCTCTGACCTGCGCTCACAGACACATGCCGACCTCAACAAGTGGATCACCGCCATGGAGGAGCAACTGCGCTCAGATGACCCTGGCAAGGACTTAACCAGTGTGAACCGGATGTTAGCTAAGCTGAAGGCACGTGAGTGGGTGATAGACTGGGGGTGCTGGCATAGAGAGAATCTTGGGGAGCAAATCTGAAAGAAAGTAAGTGTGCCTGTTTCTATTAGCTGGGCTGGCTTTAGGCATGCAAACGTGGTTCTGAGTTTATCACCAGGTCCTACCCCTTGGCAATGGGTGAGACCAGGGTCCCAGTGGATTAGTAAAGACACTTGGGGCAGAGACAAATGAGCAGGGCACCCCAGAGACTTCCTGGGGTTGGCTGAGCACAAAGGCAGCTTTAAGGATGGGTTGAATCAGTTGCTAAAGAGAACAAGTGGGGGGCTGGAGTGATAGCACAGTGGGTAGGGCATTTGGCTTGCATGTGATTGACCTAGGTCAATTCCCAGTATCCCATGTGGTCCCCCGAGCACCACCAGGAGTAGTTCTTCCTGAGTCCATGAGCCAGGAGTAACCCCTGTGCATTGCCGGGTGTGACTCAAAAAGAAAAAAAAAAGAGAGAGAGAACAGGTGGGCTGTTGGGGATTGAGTCTGGGACCAACACTGCCCCCTTCCACCCCAGCGTGTGGAGGACCAAGTGAATGTGCGGAAGGAGGAGCTGGGGGAGCTGTTTGCCCAGGTGCCCTCTCTGGGAGAGGAGGCAGGAGATGAAGACCTGGGCATTGAGAAGCGGTTCCTGGACCTTCTGGAGCCCCTGGGGAGGAGGAAGAAGCAGCTGGAATCCTCCAGAGCCAAGCTGCAGATCAGCCGGGACTTAGAGGACGAGACGGTGCGTAGGCTGTAGCTCCCTCTGCTCCCCACTGCGGCTGAGCCTGCAGCTGCCACCTGGGGACAGTAAAGCTGTCTGCAGCCTGGGGCCCTTCTTGACAACCGAGATCTGGTTCTCTTGCTCCCTGTCTCCCATGGTGTTGGTGAGGATTTTATGAACCAGACAAAGACAAGATGTTTCAAGTGGAATTTCACTCATGGACCCTGGGGCAAGACCCTGCCATGATACCCCCCACTTCCACACTGGGGATGACCGGGAATGAGTTCTTTGGAACGGTCATTCAAAATATCAGAACATCCCCATCCATCTCTAAAAGGGGAGAGAAAATCCGGGTGGGGAAGAACCTGGGAAACAGGGCAGGGGGCAATCTGCCCACTGGTGGTGATTGCTCCAGATAGCACTGACACGATTTGTCACTGGCTGTCCCCTGCCTTCCGATCTCTACAGCTGTGGGTGGAAGAGAGGCTGCCTCTGGCACAGTCAGCCGACTACGGCACTAACCTGCAAACTGTGCAGCTGTTCATGAAGAAGAACCAGGTGAGTCATTTCTCTGGGAACCCCTCGCTCCCTACTGTCCCTCCCAGCACCCCAGGAAGGGCAGTCAGTCCTGACCTGTGGAAGGCCAGAGATACCAGATTATTATTCTTGTTGGTAGCCGCAGCATCCTCAGACTGTGCTTGGAGTGTCAGAGCAGAAAGAGAACCTTAGTGATGACAGTGAACTCTGGGCTCAGCATGGGGAAGTGTAGGATCCAGGTGCTCTGGGCTTAGGGATATTTGGATCCCATCAGGGTACAGGCGAGTGCAGGAGCCCTGCTTTGGTGGATATCACACTGCTTCCTGTCCTTTCTGAGGACTTGTGCCCCATGACCAGCTTCCATGTGCTTCTGGCCATGTCATGACCCCGTCCCCCACTGACTCTTGGATGGGAGAGAGGCGTGGGGTGTGGCCCAGACTGCCCCCTTGGGGGGGTGTCCTACTCCTGAACCCTTCCTTTTGGGTGGACACAGACACTGCAGAATGAGATCCAGGGCCACGCACCGCGGGTGGAGGGCGTGCTACAGAAGGGGCGGCAGCTGGTGGAAGGAGCGGAGATCGACTGCCAGGACATCGAGGAGCGTCTGGGCCACCTGCAGAGCTCCTGGGACACACTACGGGAGGCGGCAGCTGGGCGGCTGCAGCGCCTGAGGGATGCCAGTGAGGCCCAGCAGTACTACCTGGACGCAGGCGAGGCTGAGGCCTGGATCAGCGAGCAGGAGCTCTACGTCATCTCCGATGAGACCCCCAAGGTGGGTTGGGAATGGGGAGCCAGAAGAGGTACTCAGCCTCAGCACAAGACTTTGGGGACAGGGCTTGAGTGATAGTACAGTGGTAAGGCACGCGGTTGACCCAGGTTCGATCTCCGGCATCCCATATGGTCTCCTGAGCACCACCAGGAGTATTTCCTGAGTTCAAATTCAAGAGTAACCACTGAACATAGCCGGGTGTGGACCCCCCCCCAAAAAAAAACACCCCACAAGAGGTTGGGGGCAGTCAGTAAGTAGCAGGTCTTGCATGTGCATGAGGAATGAGGGCAGGAAGGGAGGGGTGTCAGGAGTCCCCAAATTCCCCTCACTCTCTTGGTGACATCTCCTGATCAGGATTCTCACTTGGAGAGAACCCCACTTGTAGCAAATACAAGGCCCAAAGAGGTACCTCACCACTGTCTAGGGGTTACTCTAACTCAAGGGGTCTTCACTTTCTCTGTGCTGGGAGATGCTGTGGGTGAGCTGATGAAGAGTGAGATAATGGGGGGGGGGTGTCTCTCAAATGAGAGAGAAATGCCCTGGACCCAGGAGGTGGCATCTGGGCTGGAAGGGAGAGAGGGAGAGAATCTCATACCATTGTTGGGGGCTGTGGGAGGGCGGGGGCAGAAGGGCAGAAGAGAAAGTGCTCTGAGGGTGTCCCTTGTCCATTGTGGGCCCCAGAGGCAGAGGGCGTGAGGCCCAGCTGTGCCCACAGCTGTCATTTGTCTGTCTGTGCATCCACACAGGACGAAGAGGGTGCCATCGTGATGCTGAAGCGGCACCTTCGGCAGCAGCGCGCGGTGGAGGAGTACGGCAAGAGCATCAAGCAGCTGGCTGGTCGCGCCCGAAGCCTGCTGGCCGCAGGCCACCCCGAGGGGTGTGTGTGCCTTTGGGCTGAGGGCCCCAGCTGGTGGCCCTCCATCTCCAGCAGGGAAGGGGGAAGTGTGGGCCCAGCAGTAGCGGGCCTAGTTTGTGTGTGAGCAGCTTCAGAGACCGAGGAATAGCAGAGAGACCCTCTCGGTGAGGTGTGGGCTTCAGTTCTTTGATGACTTTCTCTCATGCTGAGGGACGCTGGAGGCAGATTCTGCGTTTCCTCTAATGGCACAGAAGTTAGTTCAGGCTCTCGCAGGGTGTCAGCAAAATCCTTATTCAGGAATAAAGATGCCAGGCCATGACCCTGTGAGTTGTGCATCTGTGTGCCACTGTGTCAGACACTTCATCTGCTCCTGGCTATACCCTGTTGCCATGCCTTGAGGGCCCCTATTGCTGTGGGTCTTCGGCAGCCCCACATACACGTGTCCTGAAGAACTAAGCATGGCTGCTGCCCCATCGGCCTCCCATCATGAGTGATGGGGAGGCTCCCCCTTTGCCTCTCTGCTCCCAGAGTGAGGGGTGCCACCTCTGGAAGGACAGGTGGCCATCACCTCCGAGGCACTGTGATTGAAGGACGGTTCCTCTCCCCCAAGTCACCCCCATCTCTGCCTTTGCTTGACCGGCTCTTGCCCAGAGGCTGGAGGGGGCTGGCTCCTCAGGGCAGCTCCTCTGGGTTCTCTGGGTGGGCACTGACGGCCATCTTGTTCTGTACCAGGGAACAGATCATCAGGCTTCAGGGGCAGGTGGACAAGCAGTACGCCGGGCTGAAGGACATGGCAGAGGAGCGCAGGCGGAAGCTGGAGAACATGTACCACCTGTTCCAGCTGAAGAGGGAGGCTGATGACCTGGAGCAATGGATTGCGGAAAAGGAGCTGGTGGCCTCGTCCCCGGAAATGGGGCAAGACTTTGACCACGTCACTGTGAGTACTCATCCAACTGCACTTTGCCACCCGTGGGTGCAGCAGTCAGAGACGGCATCACACAAACATTTCACACACACACACACACACACACACACACACCCCAGACTCATACCATTCACTCATGCCACACACACTACAAAAACCACACATCACACACTATTCACACATAGCACACAAAAAATCATATACTCCACACATTCACACCACACAGCACATATTACACACATGATACACATACCTACACTAACACTCACACTACACAGTTTCAGTACACTCATATTACATACATACTTACATCACGCACATCCCACACACACACACTTACATTACCTATACTACACATACATTATACATACCACATACTCATCATATGTGCAACCCTCACATACCACATACATTTGCACCATGCACACACTATACATTCCATAAACATATATTACACACCATATGCATACCACAAACCACACACGTTCCCACCACACACTCATAGCGCACAGACATTCATACCACATACATCACACTCACATGGCACACTCATACCTTACACCACACAAACCACACATAGCACATACATAATCATAACCACACACTCATACCACATACCACACACTGTACACATACCGCATACATACACCACACACCCAGACTACACATACCACACACCCTCAGCACACATACATACCTCATACACACCATACATAATTCATATACACACTACACACACATCCACCATGTATACACCCCACATACATATATATACCACACACCTCTGTGAAGTGTTGTACAGAGTTGTGATCACTCAGGTGTGAGTTCAGGCAGCCCCCAGGGAAAGTGTGAGAACAGAGCCCCAGGGAGTAGTGGACAGTCATCTGCAGTGATGCACCAGTGAACCCCTATAACCTCATTCTTGATTCCCCCTACCACCTACCCTATCTGTGTCCAGCTGCTCCGGGACAAGTTCCGGGACTTTGCCCGGGAGACTGGCGCCATCGGGCAAGAGCGGGTGGACAATGTGAATGCCATCATCGAGCGGCTCATTGACGCGGGCCATGGCGAGGCGGCCACGATCGCGGAGTGGAAGGACGGTCTGAACGAGATGTGGGCTGACCTGCTGGAGCTCATCGACACGCGCATGCAGCTGCTGGCCGCCTCCTATGACCTACACCGCTACTTCTACACGGGCGCTGAAATCCTGGGCCTCATCGAGGAGAAGTACCTCGAGCTGCCCGATGACGTGGGGCTGGACGCCAGCACCGCAGAGTCCTTCAACCGGGTGCACACGGCCTTCGAGCGGGAGCTCCACCTGCTGGGTGTGCAGGTACCTGTCCCTCACTGCCTGGGTCCCACTGCCAAGGGGCTCAGAGCCCCTCCTGGCACCTCAGCTTTGGGGGGCACAGGCAATGCCATCTCCTTTGAGGCAGTGGTTCAGGACAGGAGGGCAGGGAGCAGCGACTTTAAGGCATTCTTCAGCTCGCGAAGAGCTGAACAGGCGGGAGTGCAGAGGGCTAGGTCCATCCCAGACACCGCGCGGCTCCCAGCGCGTGGCTGGCTGTGGCCCCAAGCGAAGCCTCTTTGAATTGACTCCACAAAGAACCCCCATGCACTGTGCGTGTGTGACGGAGCCGTTGGCAGGGCCGTGTTTCTGCCACGGTACCACCCTAAGCTTTGTGTCATGGATGAGGAAAGCAGTGCACGGAGGGTCAGGACTGCCCGGGAGCATGCAGGGAATGGGGGGCCCAGGATACAGACCCCACTATTCTGTCCTCAGACTCCGCCTGCGGCCACAGCCTCTAAGCCTCTCCCTGGGAGCTGAGGGGTCCACGATCTGCAGCCCATCCCTGGCTCCCCCGTCTCAGATCTGTGGACTCCATAGAGCCCCGTGACAGGAGAGCAGGATAGGCAGCCCAGCTGTGGGGGCTCCCCGGGGAGCCAGCCCCTTGGGGTTCAGGGTTAGACTCCAAGGTTAGGGGACTCAGTTGGGTGGATCTGAGCCTTCTCGAGGCTTTCCTCTAGCAGGAGAGGGGTCAGGCAGGGTCTCGGACAAGGGGGTGCGCAGGGGCAACCGGGCCTCGGGAATGACACTGCTGCCACTTCAAAGAGTGGACAGTTGGGAACTCAGGCATCTGATTCCAGTACCAGGGCTAGGAAGTTACCTGAAGCTGATCCTTCGGCCTCCCTGTGTCTCAGTTTCCTCACCTCAGAGTGACCAGAGCATGGAAAGTGGTCAGCGGAGGTGTCCGCTCCACAGTTGTTCCCGTGCTTGCCAGGCATCCACAGGCAGAGCCTCTCACCCCAAGGGCTGCCTAGGGTCCTCAGAGGCATGAAGAATGGGGCGCCTTCTCTTCCAGCCCCCTCAGGGTGACAAGACCCCGCCATGCCCTGAAGAGGGAGGCAGGGGAAGATCCCCCTGACTCTCCATCTGGGGAATAACTTCTGGTTCTACCTGACCCCAGGTGCAGCAGTTCCAGGACGTGGCCACCCGACTGCAGACGGCGTATGCGGGGGAGAAGGCTGACGCCATCCACAACAAGGAGCAGGAGGTGTCGGCCGCATGGCAGGAGCTGCTGGATGCCTGTGCCGGGCGCCGCATGCAGCTGGTGGACACGGCTGACAAGTTCCGCTTCTTCAGCATGGTCCGCGACCTCCTCTCCTGGATGGAGAGCATCATCCGGCAGATCACGACCCAAGAGAGGCCCAGGTAAGCAAACGGCCATTCAGTCCCTGCCTCTATCCCTTCCCCAAAGGGACTGTCCTAAACCGAGGGGCTCTCTGGGGCCCGGGAGGGAAGGGAATCCTCAGTGGGGCATGAGTGACTTGGCTCCCACAGTCGGGCTAGTGACCTCAATGATTGGGGAAAATGAGTGCTTCTGGGTCAAAGCAATGGCTCCCAGGGCCCATTGCACCTGCCTGGCCTGCACAGGGCCCTGGCTCTGACCCCTGGGACCACACAGCCTCCCAGGCACTGCAGAGAAAACCCTGGCAGCCCCTAGCACTGCTGGGAGAGGCCCAAAATAAAATAAAATCGGAATATTCATTCCCCACCTTTGAAATGAAGCACCTAACCAGTTTGCACCTCCCAAGCAGGGCATGTGTGAACTTCTGCAGCTCCTCAATCTTCCCTTAGTGCCAGGTTGGGGGGTTGGAGGGGTCTCACTGTCCCTGAGGGATCCCAGGGTTCTATCAGATTAGCAGTGACCTGGGGCCCTCCACCCCTGGGACATCTGTCCTCATGGGCAGACTTCTGTGTTGACCATTCTCATGGAGAGGAAATGAGGATGGTCAGTGAGTTTCCTAGGGTCTCAGTTGTATAACCATTACCACAGTCTAGATTTAGATGATCTTCATCACGCTCCAATGAAAGGCCAGGCCCTTTCATCAGTCATCCCTCCCAGATGACCCCAGCCCGGCCCCCACTGAACCCCCCCAGACACGCTTCTCAGCATCCCGATGGTCTCTGGTGCAGAGATCCCCAGGGTCTCACAGGCTGCCCCCTCTGCTATAGTACAGACTCTTCACAGTTCATCCTCAGAGTAAGGTGTATTCCTTCGGGCTGCCAAACAGTGTTCCCAGTCTGCACTGAGGGACCCATGACCCCCACCCCCACCATGTCCTCGTTTCTGCTAGAGGACACTGGGTGCCGGTGTTCCTGGCTGTCCAGAGAGGAGGAGGGGTCAGATTTCTAGGTAGCTGGCAGGTCCGGTCTGGTGGTGATGTGGCACTGGGCAAGCCCCAGCATGTCCCTCCTGTCTTACCTCCTGTCAGGGATGTCTCCTCTGTGGAATTGCTCATGAAGTACCACCAGGGCATCAGAGCCGAGATCGAAACACGCAATGACAACTTCAGTGACTGCAAGAAGCTGGGGGAGTCACTACTGCAGCGGCAACACCAGGACTCGGAGGAGGCAAGCAGAGGTTGGGGGGTGGGGGTGCAAGGGGTAGGGGCCTCACTTCTACCCCATTTCCTAGGAGGGGTTGGTGGGGTACAGGCATCCCAGGAGGCCAATCCAATCAGGGGCACTAGGACTTGAGCCCCACTCTGCTCATGAGGATCGGGTGGCTGGGAGGGAGCACATGCTCCCCTCCCTACACACACACTCAAACACACACACACAGACACACACACAGAGGCACAGCCCCACACTTTGGAACTGGCCAGGGCCAATTTCCAGGGTCAACCACCGCCATCTCTGAGAGATCGTGCGACGTGCCCAAGGCGGCACCACCACAGCACCACAGTCAAGTTGCAGGGCCCAGACGGGCAGCCAGGAAGCCACTTGCAGGAGTCTGAGCCAGCCCCACACTCTGACGAGACCCTTTCCCTTCCTCGCTCTCTCCAAGTGAGGGGCTAAGGGGGACCCAGCCTGAGCTCTTCTCCCTCCCCACCTGCAGATCAAAAATAAACTGAAGCAGGTGGAGAACATGAAAGAAGATATGAATAAAAAGTGGGACGTGCGCTGGAAGGATCTCTGCATTCGTGAGTACCATCTGGAATGGGCATCTGGGAGCCCGGACATCCAGGAGGGGACACTCCTGCCCACCACAAGGGGGAGTTTGGCCACCTCCTGGACTCCTAGGGCCAAGGCCCTCATAGTGTCACCTGCTGGGGGACTAAGGTCCTCTGGAATCCCGTGGGAGGGCTGCTGCTAGACCCTCTTTACCCGGAGGGTTCCCACTCCCTACCTGCCCTTCAACCCGCCTCCTGTGGTCGCTATTCTGTGTTTTAGGGAAGCAGATTCTCGGGCAACCAGAGGGTGTCGTGTCCATGGGAGATGCAGTGTCCTCCCTGTGGACACTAGTTCAGGAGAGCAGGAGAGGGGACAAAACCCAATTTCATGTTGGGGCTGTGAGCTGGGCAGTCTGGACAAGTCCCATGAGTGTACTTACATGTGCCACATGGGAGCCACTTCGGGAGGGAAGAGCGTGCTGGGCAGTAACCCCCAGGCCCCGTGGCTCTTTCTCCGTGGCAGTGCTGGAGGTGTGTCAGTTCTCCCGGGATGCCTCTGTGGCCGAAGCATGGCTGATCGCCCAGGAGCCCTACCTGGCCAGCCAGGACTTTGGGCACACCGTGGACAGTGTGGAGAAGCTCATCAAGAGGCACAAGGCTTTTGAGAAGTCCTCAGCCAGCTGGGCTGAACGCTTCGCGGCCCTGGAAAAGCCCACAACGGTGAGCCAGGGACCTACCCAGGGGCTCAAGCCCGGGATGGAAGCCAAAGCTGAGTGTGGAAGACTCAGCAGGAGTGAGAGTGAGGAGTCGGAGAGGTAGAAAATTTGACCTTGGAATGCAGAGGACAAGGGGGGGGGGTCATTAAAAAGGCATTCCCCTCCACACCCCCACAGGCTGTGAATGGGGTATATCTTCAGAGAACGGGAGGGAAGGGGGGGCAAGAATTCACTTCCCTTTGCAACTGCCCTGACCACCTTGGCCTTTTCCTCCCCCAGCTGGAGCTCAAAGAACTCCAGACCCCCGAGAGGCCTGCCGAGGAGCCAGGGTAAGTATGGGAGGACCTAGCACCAGTGAAGGGTGGGGGAGACAAGACAGGAAGTAGAAGGACTTCCTGTCGGAACCAGGCCCAGAGCTCGGTAGCAGAGGGACTCTTGTTCCCTGAATCAATGGGGGCATGAAGACTGGTTGCAGTCCAGTTGCAGAAAATGGGAGTCACGGGCAGTGGTAACTGGTGCAGCAGACAGGGGGTCTCCCAGTAGGCCCAACCCTGATTGGGCCCCTGCATGTGAGCCCCAAGACCACACTGCAGAGAGCAGGCTCATTTCTTCAGAGTCTGCCTGATGTGGCTCCTAACTGAGCACTGCCGAGCTGTGGCAAAGGCGAGGCCTACCCCGGGGTTCCCTGGTATAGAAGTGGGGGCCAGTTTTCCAGGAGGGGCTGTTCTTCCCTAGGCCTCAAGAGGAGGAAGGCGAGACAGCGGGGGAGGCTCCCCGACCCCACCGTGCAGCCACCGAGAGAACGTCCCCGGTCAGTTTCCTGTCCCATTTGTCTGGTTCCTTGGAGTCGTTGCTGCCAGAGCCTGCTCACCCCTTCTAGGCTCGGCCAGGGCAGGAGGAGGGCGAGGAGGGCGCCCTGAGCCAGCCCCTCCTGCAGAATCCTCTTTCCTTGGTCACTGAGGGCCTCCTAGTTCCAGGACTCAGACCCTCCGCCCTTCACCCAGAAAGAAGAAGCTGGCGTGCCAGGCCGCTGACAGGACTATCATTTGGTTTTCTCTAGTCTAATAAATTTTATTGTATAAATAGCTCACCCTCACCCTTGGGGAAGACCGTTCCACACCATCCTTCCCCTTCCGTTTCCTGAACCCCAGTACCCCCTCTTCATCCCCACAGCCCTTTCTCACACTCACAGTCTCCCCACACACACACACGCACACACTCAATCACAAAATACAGAGCCCTCCCAGTCTGGCCTGCCATATCCACCATATCTGGGACCCTGCCTCGGGCAGAGTCCCCCCTTCTTGGGAGAGCCGCTCCTTTGCCCCTCCTGGGCCCAGGCCTGTGAGCCAAGGAATTGGGATTAAGAGAGGGTTCTCTGGCAACAACAGGAGTGAGGGAAAGCCCAGAGTTCCTAGATCATGGAGCCAGGCCCCCCAACATGTAGAAAAGGGTAACGTGTCAGCATCCTGGGGGAAGGAAAGGGTGGCAAGGACGGGCCCAAGATGGAGCAGGTGGGCAGGCTGTGGCATAGGTCTTGGGGACCTGGATGGACAGGTGTCTCAGGGAGCCTGGGGGCTAAAGTTGGGCATGAAGCAGCTGAAAAGAAAGCAGGAATTCAGCATGTGCCTTGCATGGCCTCACCGCATGCAGCCCACCTCTCCAGAGCTCCAGGGTGGAGAGAGACTGACCTTCCAGGGGGAAGTTTCCTGTACAACAAACCACAGATCTCAGTTTTCCCCACACTGCACTATACACACGCATGCACATGCATGCACACACACACACATACACACACACGTGCACATGCGCCGAGCCCTCTGCCACCAACCTCATCTGGGCTGCATGGGCCCCGCGTGTCCAGCAGGGGTTGTGCCTGGGCTCCCTCAGAGGTGCTCGCAGAAGTGCCCGTGGACGCTCTTCTGGTGGACTTGCAGCCCAGCCCCTTACTCCCAACGACCTGGAAGGAGAGAGCTCCGGGGGCTGGCTTGGACTGCCGACACCTGCGCTGGGACTGTCCCTGCCTCCTGCCTCCTGCCTCCTGCCTGCGCTTGGGCTGTGGAACCGCCTGTATCCATGTGCTATGGTGACCTGGGTCTGCGGGCTCCTGTACCACCCCCGAGCACCCACTCCCTCTGTGTCGTGTCTGTTTGTGCAAAAGTTATAACACTGTAATCACGCGGGTGTCACGCCGCCCTCACCCCTCCCGCACACACAGCTGAAAGTGGTAGGTGGCCGTGGGCAGACCACAGGGACCTGCATCTCTCTGGAGGTGGGAAGCCCTTTCTGAGAGCCAGCCACTCCACCAAATGGGAAAAGTGGCTGGTGCCCTTATCAGGAAGAAACCAAATGACAAATCACATGAACCTGAGCCAGGGCATCATGGAAACACATTTCTGGCTGCTGCTGCTCTTTTCAGAGCCCTTGTTGACTTCTCATGAGGCTCCAGGGAACTTCAAGGACCGGAGTGAAGTCCACTTGTTCCCTGCCAAGCCGGAAAGGCCTCCCAGCACCCCTGAAGTGCCCCTGTGCTGTGCTCTCCTGCCGTCTCCTGGGCTCTGTTGTAGGTGCCCGCAGACACCACCCACACACAGTTGCTTCCTGTCACATCCATCACCTGTGCATGTGGGCTTCCTGCATGGAGGTGGCGGACCGGCAGGACTGGGCACCTGAACCCTCCTCTGTGTGTGTGTGTGTGTGTATGTGTGTGTGTGTTTGTGTGTGTGTGTGTGTGTGTGTGCACCTCCAGCAGAGCCTCATCCTGCTGGCCCCAGCCCAGGCCTCCCCTTCCGTGTGTCCATGCAGACACTGCTCCTCACTTCCGTCTCTCCCTCCCTTGAGCTGAAGCTTGGGCACTGCTGTGGTCTCTCCCTCCCTTCCCTCTGATCCTGCCACATTAGACCCTTAGAGTGTGTTTGGAGAAAAGCCAGCCACTTTCCTACAGGTAAGTGCATCCACACAGGCATGTCAAACGGAAGGAGCAAGGGGGAAGTCAGGACAGTGGACCCTAGCCCTTAGTTCTGCTAGGACCTTCCTGCCTGCTGTAAACCCACCACCTGGAGTTCTTTGTCCAGATAGAGTGCTCTGTATGGGATCCCAGGAAGCCAAGAAAATTCCCACAGTGTGCCTAAGGTTCTCAGGTGCCAGAAGATGTGAGACCCAGGGAGGAGGTCGGGCTAGGCTGTTTGGGAAAGAGGTGGGGGACATTAGCTCCTGCCAAGATCAGTGCCCTAAAGGCATCATGGGTTGCTGGGATGCTGGTGGCAAGATGAGCTATTTCCGTTCCTCATGCCTATCCCCTGTGCTTCAACGCCTCGTGGCCTGGGAAGAGCTCGGGAGCCCTGAAGGTGTTCCCCATCTGTCAGTTCTGGGTGCCCATCTCTGGGGCAGCATTTTGGAGAGGTGCTGCAGGTTGAGAAGGTGAGGTTGTTTTCACTGGGAAGAAACAGTTCTTAAGAGGATTGAATCAACTCAGGCTTACAGATGCAGCCTTCCATCCTGCATGCCCATTCCTGGCATCCAGATGGGGAGTCAGGATGCTAGGAGGGCCCCCAGCAGGCTGCTGTGAGGAGGAGGAGGGAGCCCCTCCTGGGGCTGTGACAAGGTCTTCTCTGTTTTGGGGTTTGGGGTGCCATAGCTTGTCTGTCTCTAAACTTCAAGACCAGTCTGGTCTCTGCTCAGGCAGGGCGCTGGGGCAAAGCCACTTTAGAGAGTCACTGCCTGGCATCGTCACCATCAGTATACCCCACATGATCCCGGAATCTTACCCACAGCAGCTCCTGGATGTCAGTCTTACACAGGACAGCAGTGGGCTTCCCTGGGAAAGGGCATGGGAGAAGGCACAGCCACTCATTCAAGCCAGACAAGAACCATCAAGCCTATAGGTCCTCAATGAGAGCTCCTGAGTCCCATTGTCAGAGGTTGAAGTGACTTCAGAGAAGGGACCAGCATTTGAGACTGGACAGGGCCCTCTCCCCCAGGCTGAGCAAGTCATGGGCACTTGACACTGCAGCCAGTGCTTGGCCGGCCATAGCTGCAGCATCTCCTTGGCAACTGAGTGCAGTGGTGAGCTTGAACCCATGGCCAGAAGCTATCTGACATCCCTGCATGGCGGTAGGGGGATGGAACTGGGTTTCTTGGGAAAACCAGTTCATCTTTTCCTCTCCTCTTTCATGCACGTGCACGTGCGTGCATGCGTGTGTGTGTGTGTGTGTGTGTGTGTGTGTGTGTGTGTGTGTTTAAGGGGAGCTGGGATGGGCAGTCTGGAAGGAATATCTGCTCTCCCCAAGACCTGAGCATGTTCCTGACTCCAGAACTCCTGAGTCCACTAACCCAGGCCAAGGCGTGTCCACCTGCAGTGCCCCTGCCCACTCAAGTCTCTCTGGACATCTGTCACTGCCCATTGCCAGCTCTCTATGGTCTGATGTGGGCTTTCTGGCCTCACTCTCCAAGGTTCTTTCGAAGTTCTTGCTTTGAAGCTGCACTTTGGAGCATCACAGGTGCTCGAGAACATGGGGAGAGACTCAGTTCACAGTGGCAGCATCTCAGAAGTGGGGCTAGAAGCTGACAGCGTGGCTGCCTGCGGGTCTTCAGAGGGACTGAGGGTTTCCTTTCTTCAGTCTCTGTTGTCACTGAGGGTCTGTGAGCACCCATGCCCCCAGGGAAGGACAGTTTTGAGCAAGCTCTCTTCCCCCTGTCTGAGGGGACCCAAATACACCCCACTTCTTTCCTTCAGTCCCCAGAACTGGTGACCTCCTACCCTCCCATTGTCTTTTCCTGGGTCCCCTCTTAGCATCTCATACAGAGGTGGACAGTGTGGAGCCTCTGGATCCTGCAGCCATTTCTCTTGAGTGCACCTCTTTTTCTTTTCTTTTTTTTTTCTTTTTGGGTCACACCCAGCGATGCACAGGGGTTATTCCTGACTTTGAACTCAGGAATTACTCCTGGTCATGCTCGGGGGACCACATGCTGGGAATCGAACCCAGGTTGACCGTGTGCAAGGCAAACACCCTCCCCGCTGTGCTATCGCTCCAGCCTGAGTGCCCCTCTTGAGTGCTCCCTGACCCCTACCCAGCCCCGAGATGCATCCCCATGTTCCTGCTCCCTGTCCCACAGCACTTCTGTGCCCTGTGAGGTATTGATCTCCGCATGCCCTCGCTGCCACCTGTGTCCCTTTGGGTGCTCTCAACCCTCAACACACCATCTGTGTCTCTTCTTTTACATTCACCTGTGCTCTGAGCAGCCTTCCCAGCCTGTCTTCCCCCACTCTCACTGTCATCCGTAACCCCTCAGCATCAGGCAAGCATTCAGGGGCCTCAACTTCCCACCACCATGTAGCTCGGGGCAGGCCACTCACTGGCCTTGAACCTTGGTTTCCTTGTCTATAAAATGGGCCTGACAGGGAGCCTGCCTTCCAGGGAGCATGAGGAAGGAAGCGAGCGTGTGGGAGACCATTGGCATCTCATAGGAGGTTCTTTGGGTCTTCAGTTTCCTCCATCCCTCATCTCAGAGAGGAAGCATCCTCCATAGGAAATCTCACACCATCGGCAAGGCCTCACCAAATCTACCTTCCCAGAGGCCCCCTGGGCCTGTCCATCGAAGCTCCCACCCTTGGGGGAGTGTCGACATCACCAGTTCCCACCTAGGTGCATACTCACGTCTGGGTCTCAGCATTATTTGGAGGGAAGTTCCTCTTCCATGGTTCCTTCTGTTCTGATGTATCTGAATTCACTGAGCATTTTCTAGAACCAGAAAAGCTGCTGGGGTCCCACACCAGACTCTTGTTTCCTTGTCTGTGTGCGAGCCCTTTTG